ACTACAAACACTACAAACAAGGGTAGAACTCCTCCTTTCCCCCCACCCCCAGTCACCCCCCCCCCAGCTCCCGTTTGGATGTGTTGCCGAGATATTGGTTCTCCTAGGGAAGTAGGCTCCTTCACCTTGTCCCTGTCCCCGCCATGGAGGAGCTTTGTCCTTGTTAAAACACGGTTGGTTCAGTAGTAGGTTTCGCGTCGAAGAAGATAAGGTTCCAGGTGATGCCTACCCTACATAGTTTGAGTTTTCCCTTAAAACAAGAAAATAATAAATCTCTGTTTTTTTGACAGGGGAAAAACGGTACTAATTCACCAGGGGCAGAAAAATAAACGACCCCGGGGCCAATTTTTCCGTACTGGTAACACACCTTGAGTGAATGCCACACCAAACCTTTTTTCATTCCTTTTTAAAGAGGGGTACTTCTAAAAAATTGAATGGAGAACCTGTGACTTGCACGAATAACTGTAAGGTATTAGCTTTGCTTCCAACCAATGTTCCATCTCCAGGGACCATGACAAACCTTTTCCGACCAGGGACGTAACCGTCTTCTCGTTGAACGTTTCCTTGGGTAGTTTGAGGGTTGGGTATGGGTATTGACGTAGAACCATTTGGGTACCTAACAGGTTTTACCGGGTGCAAAATTTGTGGAATACGTACGTCTGGGGGTTAACAGGGTCTCAGGACATTTAAGCCGGAAAATTTCAGCAAAACGTTAAAGGGGGTCTATGCTAACCCCAAACTCTTTACGGAGGGGGGGAAAAGGTTTGTATATCGGTGGTCGTAGGGTGACCCTCCAACATAACCCCATCCCTGGATGATGACACCTTCAAAATACAACCATTCAAACACAGATACAGCAATAAATTGTCCAACGTACAGTACGTCATCCAACGGGGCTTCGATCACTTTACAGAGAGAGCACGTCTAAAAACACATGAACGCATTACCTATATACAGAGGACACAGTAACAGTCAGAGGTTGGCCCAGGATGGATCGAGCTGCATCGTGGGAGTGAAGTGCACAATGAAAGAGCATTCAGCTGACAGAGAGAGACAAACCATCGGGACAAGGAGTAATGGAGGAAAGTGAAACAATATGTTTTCAAATGACATATCCAAATGTCAGCTGGCCTCTTGTTGAGAAACTTCAGAGAATATCTGCCTGCTTGGTGACGATTTCTAACACTGAATTCTCTGCTGGTATTAGAGTGGTAACTCAAACGCTAGCAGTTACAGATCAAGGATGAACTGTAACAATACATCACCATGCCGACAAAATTCTCTGACCATTTCTGTGAGAAATCACAAGTGTGTGATGCTCTCTGGAGAGTGACGCCTCAGATTTACTTTGAGATTCAAGGTCTGATGACTTTAGGGGCTTTTTCTTGCATTTTTGCAGCAGATGAGTGATCCTTGGTGCCACCTTAATTTGATGGTGGGTTGAACAGACTGAGACACGGTCACAACAACACTCATTGCTAAGTTAGTACACACAACCAGCTGACTAGAGACCTTTCCTCTCTAACTGAGAAACATGACCCTGTTAATCTCTATGGGAAGGCATGTGCACATAAACACACATACAGTACATGTACATAGAACAGACAGAATCAATAGAAAACAACTTCATCCCCAATCGATTATTGCCCCTTTCAACTGTACATCCCAGCAATGGTTTTAGGTTTTTGTGCAGCAGAGCGTTGTCCCCTGTTTGAAGGTTTGTGCTATATATGTATTTATATCGTCTGTCTGGGTTTAACTTGACCTTGGATCTGACAGAATAACAACATTAACATTTAACGTCTCATTAAACCCTAACGTCTCTGGCTGTCTGAATGAACCAGTTTGTCATCACTGCAGGCATTACTAGGGTCATGATCGACAGACGTTACCCTATGTCGCTTTACCGCAGTCTCGTCCTCATTCGACTCCTCCAACTGACCTCTAGCTGTTCAGTCCATACATGTTAACACTACATTAACAAGCCCCTCTCTGTGGTAGCAGAGCTTTCAATTCCTCCAGGTGGAGGTGAGACATCTGCTCCTCTAATAACCCTTATCCAGTTTTTCTGGAGTGTAAATGACTTCACAAGAGACTCATTTTGAACAGGACAAATGCTCAGGACAGGGAGGAAATCATAGAGTTGGGAGTTAGACCATTTGTGATTGGCAAGACTGACTCTTCATACTAATATCCAGATCTGGCTTTCAGTGCATTTTTCACTACTTTTAGAGCAGTACAGGTTTAACATAACAGGTTAGGAAACAGCAATCTATACATAAAACGGATGTGGACACACAACAACACTACAGCAGGAATCAGCTTTCTAAACAGCCTAAAGACGGGAGGAGAGGGGGGGGGAAGAAAGAACAGTAACAAGATTGCATGATACTGTATTGCACAGCTGTAGAGGGGAAAAAACAGAACGTGTGCAAAGCACGACCCCAAGTAGCAAAGTTAGAGTAGGAGGTTTGTTTACATCCAAATGCGATGCATGGGTCTGGCTCAGTGCTTTCATTAGTAAGTTCCAGTGCAGTAACACATTGGTACCTGGCAACACAGTAATGACATTAGGTACCAAAAGAGAAACACATACAGTACACACTCTACACAGACACACACACACACACACACACACACACACACACACACACACACACACACACACACACACACACACACACACACACACACACACACACACACACAAGCACGCCCACGCTGCATTGTTGATGTGAAGTTGGCAATTAAGAACAAATGGAGCTCATAAAAAGACTGAGACGATAATGTTGATGCAGCACATTAATATGTAGAAAAAGGGACACGCACACACGCATTCAAATCAATTACTACTGACATCAGGTGATGGATGACACACTACAGGGAACCAATCGGAACAAGATGCGAAAATCACCTACACGGACATACACCCTTGGCAAAGTTCACATTGAGTAAAGTGCCAGCAAACAATCCAATCAGAGAAAGATACGCCTGTCCTCAGAGTTTAAAGTGGGAACGTCTTTATACAGGAAATGATCGGGATGAGGAGGTCAGGAAGTGGCCGTAGAGCTTCTGCACTTCCATAGAGCTGTCATCACAGGTCATAATGGCCGTTTGAATTGGCAAGTCAAACAGAGGATGAGTGGTATTGATGCGGAGCTTCTCGCGCCCCAGTCAAAGACAGAGAGATCAGTAGCCACCCGGAGAGAGGAGAGGAGATAAGATGGTGAGGAGACATGGAAACAGACATCAGCATTTCTTCTTTCATCCGTCTTCTCTCCATCTTCCTTTCCCCTCTCTCTTCCTCTCTGTCTTCCTGTTTCTTTCTCCGCCTCTGGATTTGTTGTCTTCGCCTCTTTCTCTCTCCATCTCTTCTCTCTCTCTCTCTCTCTCTCGGCTTTGCTGCCATGGTTACAACATCATCCTTACATGAAGTGCATCTGCAGAGGACGGGATCAGAATGGAGAGTAATTTAGTGCGACAAAACACCTCAAGTGTTCAGGCATCTACTGACAAGCAGATTACCTGCCGCAGTGCTGGGAAAACATCTATTCATGGGGGAGAGTGCTCAGTAGGCAATTATATTACTCAGTTTTGTTTTGAATAATTGGTCAAAATATACGTGTTGTTTTTCTGTGAGTCTTGTGGCCATGCCAACTGATGAAAACCCGCTGTGAAAAGCACTTTCTTCACAATGGTCCATTATGAAAAGACAACATGATTGTTCCTACTTCTGGAAGGATCCACCATTTTGGCATTACTTATCAGTTGTTAGTAAGCTTTAATTGAACGCAAAAAAAAGTTATACGATTACAAAATGAATAGTTTTTGATGCTTAACAGATTTATGCTACGATAAGCTAACTGGCTGTAGAGTTAAGGTTTCTTAAGTGTTTTAACTTGCGTGACGCTGTGCATATTAGCATTGAGATTCTCCTAAGGTTAAATGGAGGACTAACTTTTTGTTGCAGTCTGTGGTAACCCCGAGCTCTAAGACTCACTGGAAGCGATGTGCTGCTATGAACCGAAACATGAAAGCGTTTTTCGGGACAATGCAGCAGCAACATTGGTTTTTGTAATGTTTACGGCGGAAAAAAAGTAAGATAAGGTACGTGGTATTTATGGCGTTAGGGCACGATTCCTTTCCCAAAGTAAGTTTCCAAATTCCTTAAAGACAGAATAAAGTGGGTGCATTTCCTCTAGGGCTGCTCGATTATGGAAAAAATCATAATCTCGATTATTTGGGTCAATATTTGTAATTGCAATTATTAAATGCGATTATTCATTGACTTTGAAAACATCCATTTATTGGAGAAATGTTTTTTGAACAGTATGTTTTTAACAGTTGATTACCCTGAACTTTAAGTATAATTCAACTGAAAAAACAAAAAAAACAAAAAAAAAAGTTATGATAATAATAATTACATTTTTTGTTTTATTTCGATTACGTTGTTTTTGTAATCGTTGCAAGCCATAATCGTAATGGCGATTAAAATACGATTAATTGAGCAGCCCTAATTTCCCCAGGAGAAAATCTGTTACATCTACAAAAATATGTTGCATATGCACTAATATATTTCTGTCTGGGTGTTACCTGTGCCCCTGGCATGTGTCCAAAGGGATTGGAGGGTCTCAGGACGGGCTGGTTGTACATGACAGGCTGCGGGGGCATCATGGGAACACCCCCCATCTGATGACTCATCTGAGGAGGGAGCTGCTCAGGGAATAGGTGGGAGAATTCATGTGAATGTGGAGAGAAAAACTGTTTTTTTATTTAGAGTAGTTGAATGCCAGCAAAGTCTGATTGATTGACTGAGATTAAAGCTCTTTCTTTACCATTCCATACATAGGCACTTGGGGTGACGTCATAGGAAAAGCCACTGGTGCAGGAGCCTGTGTGGATAAAAAGAGAGAAACTGTATAATACAAACATAATGACACTGTCAGGCTCACGTCTAACCTGTCGAGTGCCTCCCTAACGAATACAGACATGTCTTGACTTTCTTTAACACAAGCATTTGTTTGCGAGACATCTTATCCTGAGATACAAAAAGAGGTGAAACTTCAAAGTAGAACTGAGGCAGCAGATTGGCAGCCTTGATAACCGAAAAAGATTAAACAACTATTTCTACGTAGTACAAAAGGTGATAAATTACCCGTTTCTCTGATAATTCTTGTCTCATCAAAAATAGAGACAGTCTAATAATACAAGAGCGGATCAGGGTGACCTCATGTGTAAACAACAAGAGTTAAAGGGAGTTGAAGTGAATAAAAGTACGTACATAGCCAGTATAGATCATCCCATTCTGTGGAGAGATAGAGAAAAAGAGTTAAAACAATATATACCATGATCAGGCGTTTTCTCTACATGAGCTAAGAAGATATGTTCCTCATGTTTCAAATCACTACCACTTTCTATTCATGTCGCACATGTCACCAGCTTTCCGAACTATTTGCTGAATAAATGAGCGGTTTCAGTTGAGAGGTCAATCGTCGAAAAAACTAAAAGATGAAACGAGATTGAATGGAAGAGACTTGCGGATAATTAGAGTGGAGCACAAAGGATAGGCATACATTTGGGAGCTCCTTGAAAAAGCCCTGAATGCAGCAGAGAGATACATTTGGCCAAAAGGTACATTTAATGAGTTTTATTTCAGATTGAGACATCGGACCATTAGGAGAAACAGCCTTCACCGACACAATGATGGATGGCACTGAATTCTTTTAACTTATTAAAACTAAAGCAGTGCAGTAATGTTTCTCTGACAAAAGGCCACATCGATAGACTTGACTCTGTGTCATACTTTATTTTGTAACTCGTTAAAAAAAACTTGCTTATTTATTTAGTTTGCAGTATTACTACAATATTACACACACACAGGAGGGTTTTCTTTTCCCTAATGGTGCATTTTGATGAAGAGCCAGCTGATCTTTTTACTTCTTTGTAGATTGGGTCATATCTTTCTAATGAACTAGTTGTTTAAGGAACATTTTACAGCAAAAAGTGTCAAAAATGGTCTCATTTTGGCTTCTCCAATGTGAGTCTTTCTGCTTTTCTCTTTTTCCTTTTGAAATATGTGATTTTATGCTGCTTTTTGTGTTGAAAGAGACACCACTGTACCTGTCCAAGTTGACACCACCTTAACAAGCAGTGTGAAATATGTGTGGGTGAAAGTCACAAATTGGTGCAGTGCTGCTGCAGTGCTGCTGCTGTGGTTTTGAATAGCGGTGGACATTGTTTGGTTCATGACTAACAGGCAAGTGAGTGAGCTCCCACTTAATCTGCAATGCCAGTTGTTAAAATGTAGAGCAACAAATGCAAATGTAGTTTATAAATTACCATCTGAGGAACGGGCATGGGCGCAGGAGCCATGGGATGGGTGGTGTGAGTCCAGTTGGTGCTGGTGCACATTGTCTTTGACTGCCAGCCTCCTCCTGTTGGCTTCTTCTCTACGAGCTGACTCCACTGGAGCTCCGGCCTGATGCACACAAGCAAAATAAATGTTCAGGTTCACAGATTATGCAAAACAAGATTATGCTAAAAAAGGAGAGATAATGAGTCATAAAAGACTTTGAGCAGAGATAAAGCTGGATAGACAGCTGAGTCATTTTTTGCTTGTGGCTGAATCTCAGATGTCACGAAAACCCACTCACTTTTTAGCTGGCGTCCCCCCAAACTGCAGGTCTGATAGAAAAAGAGGGAAATGAAACATAGCATTAGCTGGAGGGAAGCAACGCAGTCAGATGAAAAATAACAGAAAAATGGAAGCGATGAATATTTGGAGAGAGATTCTGTATACTCACTGCCAACGAGATTGGCTAATGAAGAGTCCAAATCATTGGGCAGCATTTTCCCAGAGTGCAATTGGACCCCGGGGCTGTGAATCTGAGCGTGTGCTACTGGCTTTAGCAGGTCACCTGACAACCAAAGGTTACCATGGTAACATGAAATGAGAGAAGATGGGAAATGAGTCAAGAGCATGAAGCAACTGGGCATCACCGTCACAACACATCCAGCTCCAAGCAGTGTGTGAGTTTATTTGCATGGTTTGTTGTATGTTTGTGTGTGTGTGTGTGTGTGTGTGTGTGTGTGTGTGTGTGTGTGTGTGTGTGTGTGTGTGTGTGTTTATGTTTATGCAGTCATACCTCCCCAGGCATTGTTATTGTTGGGCACAGTGTGTGTGGTCTGGATGGGGGTGAAGTTTGGCTGCAGGGTGAACAGCTCACTGGTCAGGTTTGGCACACTACAGGAAGGGACAATGGAGAGTAGAGCACAGCTTTATTATTCATTTATTGGTATGTCACTAGATAAGATAGTTACACAAATCGAATTCATAATGACAGACAGCGAACCAGTGAGACTTGAAACATACAGACTGCAGATGTTAGACTCACTGGTTGCTGATGGGTACGATCTGTGAGTTGGAGAAGAGATCTGTGGCCCCCCCGCTGCTGTTGGCACTGCCCACCGACTGAGTGCTGGGCGACACATTGGGTGTCTGAATATCAATCACCTTATGACCGTCCTCCTTCAATTGGAAGCATAAACACAATAATGTTACATTTTCTTGGCTTTTAAATAGCCCTGCCGCGCGCACACACACACACACACACACACACACACACACACACACACACACACACACACACACACACACACACACACACACACAGTAGTTATAACTGCCTTGGAAAATAAGATGTGCCATTTTAAATGATTCTGTTCCTAAATGCTTCTTTATTTGATTGAAAAATCCACTGCAGACTTCATTGTTATTCTCTGTGCAGCTCTGTACGCAGTGGGCCAACAGCCAGAGACTGACAGTGTATTGCACTGTACTGCAGGAATGATGCACTCCGTTCAACTTTAACAACAGTGTGGAGAACAAAAAGACTGGCTGTACCCTCGGGGTCTTAAACAACATTTTATCTTTACCTGCCACTGCGGCAGGCCACTGAACAATTAAACCGGAAATATCTGTAGAATATATGGAAGAGGAAATATCATGTAAAGTTAATTCCTAATCCGTTTAGTTAAAAATGCATTTAAACATTATATTTTGCAGTCTATTGAATACCTGTCTGCCATGGTGCATTGATCTCATGGATCTTATGGATCTTATGGTTTGAATATGTCTTGCCTTGTGTTGCTGCAGTCTGTTGTCGTCTGTCTTGTCGTCCATACGGCTAAGAGAGATCCCAGTGCTGGAGAGAGAGGACACTGCACTGGACAAGGTGCTGGATCTTAAGGAGGGACACACGTATAAGAATTTACTACATTCCTGTTAACATTCATCGATTGAAATTATGTTATATTTATGTTATATTTCATCACTGTTTATAGCCTTTTTTGTTTGCTTTTCTTTTACACATATTTGATTAGCAACTACTGCTTCAATGTTATTGTTGTGCATGAGATACACCAAGAACTAGAAGTTATAGAATATATATCAGGCATCATAAAAGTAGCTTTCACTTGGTGAACAGCACAGAATAATTAATAATGTCATTATTGAATTATTTTACCTAAGCATGGTGCTTTTACTAAGCAGTGATTTAATGCACCACCCAGTGACCATGCATAGTGACCCGAATCTAACACACCCACTTTTTGCATTAACAGGTGCCTCCTGATGATGTGGCTAACATGTTTTACATTCAGTGACAAACTGATATATAGCTTTATTATATAAACAATGCCTGTAGGCTTCTAAATGCAGTCTATGGATCAGACAGATGTGGACAGAAGGGCTGCATTCACTTGATATATTGTGCTTGGAGGATAAACGAGCAGCTTAACCCGTAACAAACTCAGGGGAACTTCTCGGTGCAAGAGACTCACAGAATGACACTTACAGGTGAGCACAACAAACTGTGACAGTGCTTCACATCACCAGTAGTTTTAAGTAAATGTACACAAGTACTGTACTTAAGTACAACTATTTGAAAGACAAGTATTTCCACTTTATACTTCTTCTCCACTTCATTGTGGAAGCCAATATTGTACTTTTTACTCCACTACATTGATTTGATAGCTTTAGTTACTTTACAGATTTAGATTTGTAGCTTAAACAAAATATTAAGCAATTTATCAAATCAAATCAAATCAGGTTTTATTTATATAGCACATTTTTAAAACGATTTTTGGTCGAGCCAAAGTGCTGTACATATAATAATTACCTTACAGTAAGGACACTATACAGTAAATACAACAGCACAGTTTGTGCAAAATTTCAGTATGAGAGAACGACACCCTCTGACCTTAGACCCTCACATCGTACAAGGAAAAACTTCCGGAGAATTCTTTTATAAACGAACATTGTCATATAATTTATAGATGGTACCTGCTGGCTGCGCAGAGGTCTTTGAGCTTCCTGCCCTCCAGAGAGGCTAGATGCTGCTCCAGAGCCTCCAGGAGAGAGCTGGGAGCCTGAGGGGGGGGATCAGGGGGGAGGGGGGGAATGGGAGGGGAGGTGATGGGAGGACATTAGAACCACAACCAAGTGGACGAGATTGGACACACCGCTTTCTCTCACTCCCATCTCCTCACCTGCTCATCCACTCTCTCACAAATGCACACAAAGCAGCAGCAAACTAAAGACATAACCCTCAGATTCATTATCTACTCTCTACAACAGCTCATCGTTCTTTTTTCTTTTCTTTTTTTTGCATTTGGTTTCATCAGGTTTGGTTGACCAGCATGCACTCATCAGCCTTGGATCATGCAAGCGAGTCCCTAGCAGGACTGACAGGTCAGGACAGAGCAGAGCGTCGTCGCTGCAGGGCTCCAGAGTAGAAACACAACAAACACGTCTCTGAACGTCTAACGAGCCCATGCAGAGGCCAGCAGTGCACAAATGCTCTCATTAACACACACACACACACACACACACTTACACACACATACGAGTAAAGAAAATCACAATCCAAAAATTAAGAGTTAACTTGTGGATTCCACGTTAGGTTGAAAGTCAAATCAACATGTTATTCATTATAATTTGGAAATCAGCGGCAGCTAAAGCTAAGTAGCAACATTTTATCCCACTGGAAACCAGGGAAGTTAACTCGGTGAAATGTAAACATCTGGTGAAAACCAGGTATACACATTGAGCAGCTTGCTAGTGCTCTGTATTGTAAAACAAAAAGGATGGATAGGTTCATTTTGACCACTATGTGATACCACAGTTTTCTTCTAGAGCCTTACATTTCAGCACCAGAGAACGCAACGCAAACACAACAAGCAAAGAAAGATTTCTCATATACTTATTTTAAGGGGGACAGAGTAAAATGCGAATTCTGGATATCCTTCTTCATAGAAATCTAGAATATGCTAAAGGTTTAAAAGTAAAACAGACACATATCTAGAGCTCAGTATAGGCATGGGTCACTATGTTGTTGAATAAGGGCATATAAGGTCTTCTTAAGCACTACAAACATGACATTAATTTGAGCCCTTTTCAGTTTGTTAGCTGATTTGTCACATTGTAAACATCCAATTATGGTTCCACTGAAAAGGATACTTTGTATTTGGGGCCTTTTGCATGACATGCAGTGCTTATGATGGCATTATGTACACCTATCCAAGTCATATTAGCAGAGACCTATTCAGTATAACCATTCGCTGCTCTCCCCACAGCTAATGCAAAGGGACATAATCTTTTCAGGGAAATGATTTGAACACTGCTTATGTGGGCAAAAACCTATTTCATAAAGCTTTGCTGACTTATTTATATGATAAGCCTTTGAATTAAGGAGACAAGCCTTGATATGTACGCTGGGAAAATGCCAGAAATAGCTGGGGAAATTCAGACGGATAATAAGCCTGGGCGTCTGAATTAGTAATATGCAAAAAGAGGCAAAAAACGTTTGATATTCAGCTGCATAACGGCTGCTTTCAAACTCTTACCTTTTCAGGCTAAAATTTGTTCTGCAATTTTTTAAGGTAAGGAACTAATTCCTGCACTAATAATTAACAATTGTGGAAATTAAATGTACTTCAAGGCTGTTTGCAGGTCTTCATTTATCGTTTCCTCTCTATTCTAGACTCAGAGAGAAAAGGAAGAAGGCGAGGGAGTTAAGGAGAGTGAAGAAGAGAGGAGGACAGGGCAGCTGCAGTGTGGGCAGGTCTGTAGGGTGAGTAGGGAACGGGAGCGTTTAGAATGAAGCATTATGGGATTGATTGACGGATTTAAATACTGGTTGACTGACTGGTTGATTGACTGATTGAGATGAGATGTAGACTGACCTGTGTGAGATCGGGGCTGTCGCCCTGATCTATCCCAACTCGCTGTGTCACAAAAAAGGAGGGAGGGGTAGGGGAGGGTGGAGGGAGGCAAAAATAAAAAATAAACCAAATGTAATAACAAAACAAGGAATAAACAAAAAAATCCAAAAGAGTAAAAAAAGGGAAGAGGCGTGTGAAGGAGGAAGAGGAGGAGGGAGAAAGAAGAATCAAACTCAAGCATTCATTACTTCATGCAGTGGCTGGAAAGGAAAACAAATAAAAGACAACAGAGGAGGAGGGGAGGAGGGCACATGCACACGCATACAAACATCTATATATACACAGTATTTGTACACACACACACTTATAAGTACACACACACACTGAGATCTGGAGACTGGTGTGAAATGAATGCTGAGCACACCGACTGATTGAACAGGCAGAGAGGGCAGACAACGGGTCACGTGACTGCGAGGTAAGAAACATCCAAAAGGAAGACACTCAACTAATGTTGACTTTGAACAGAAAGAGAAGGGGGGGACACAGATGACACACAAACAGACAAACACACATTTTGTTAGACAGGTAAAATGAATGGGTCCTTAAAGTCAACGTTAGTCTGTTTAGTTTTTTCTTTGGATCGAGCGGATCGCACACGCCAAACCTTATCCAAATGGGAACGAAACCAAGCAGAGAGAAAGCCTTTGAAGATGGCGCACGGGATAAAACTGTTTATATATTCACTGTGAAGCCTAGCAACTATTAAATGGATGACAGCCATTTTAAATATATATTTGTTTAAGAAAAGAGAGAAAATATAATAATAGGACAGAGATAGTGATAGAAAAAGAGCTTGCTTGGGCATGCAGTGCAGGCATGTGAACAGGCAGCACGCGAGGGGTCCCTCAACAGGAAGCTCTACATGAGTGGCTCTCTAATAGGCTAACACTCAGCCATTATTCACTTGTCATGGAGTAACCCCCTCCCCAGGTCAGGGCAAGAGAAGGACAGAAACAGGAGGAAAATCTAGAGGCAAAAAAAAACTTGGAAGATTAAGAAAAAAGAACCCGGACACTGATCTACGGTCAGTTTTAGCCTGGAAGATATCGACCGTAAATCAGATTCCAAAGGGTCACAGAAGTCTGGAGTGAATCTCAACGGGTTTTCTCTGCTGCTTAAATTCTTCTGAGAAACAGGAGTACATTTGAAAAGAACATGGAGATGTGTTGAGTAGGAGACCGTCGAGATTGACCCCAGACAGATTACCCTCTCGCCCTCTCCAGTGGAGTAAAACTCTGCGGTTTCCTCCGCGGAGGAGCAGCAAGGACAAACGGACGTTACCTCTGCCACTTTGAGAAACTCGGACAGTTTGGTCATCCTGTTGAGGAAAGTCTTGTAGATCTCCAGAGCTTCTTTGCACTGGTTCTTCTTCATGTCAAAGTATTTCTCTGTGTATGAGAAAACACCAGAATCAGCAGAAGATCGTTAACATGTTTGGCATCTATAATTGCTAATAATGAAGATTTCTTTGCTAGGTGATGTTGTTTAGAAAATGTAAACAATCAAAAAACTGCTGAAAAATCTGCTTTTGATTTGTCCTGATAAGCAGCACACATCTGGCGTCTCTGCAGGCTTTAAATCCACAACTATATAACCGTAGTTGAATCAATTAAGTAATGAAACATTGAATGAACTCCTCACTAAAGACTCTGTGTTCTCAGCCCCTGACTCTTTACTGGCTCAATAATTAATGAAAGAAGGAGATCTTTAATTGGACTTTTAGAGACAGTTGGAGGCAAATTGATTTCCCCTTAAAGAAACATTGAGTTGCCCGCTGCTCTGGTGATCTCGACATCAGAGGCAGATGTAAGCATTAAAACAAGTATCTGTGTGTAGGGTTTACCCAGCATGTTGATGACCCCTTCGTTGTAGGCAGCAAACAACCGTATGGAGTCTTTAAACAGCAACATGAAAGCAGTGTTGATCACTCCGTTGGTTAGCTCATTGGAGTTAGGCTAGAGGAAAGGAAAGGAAGAATCAAGTTGTGGCAGCATTAAATATTCAAGTCTTGTGTCTCCTGTTGTTGAGTCAGATGTTTACCTGGAAATCCAGCAGTGCATCAAGCTGGTTCTGAATGATGGGCAGAGTCTTAATCAGCTTCTCTGTGTGCATGGTGCGCATCACACCCTCAGCCCTGATCGCAGAAGAGAAAACATGCACACAAACACGCATGCAACACACACACAGGAATCATCAGGCCTGTAGACTGAAGGATGTATGTGTGTAAGGAGGTCCCAGAGATGTACGCTCTCTAGCAGCACGGATACATTTCGTTTTTTTTAAACGCATTCTTCATCGTTGAATTGAAAAGTCAAATGTCTAAGCAGAAACTATACACTTTCTCCATTTAGTACACTCAGGGATTTTGCCACTTCAGCTTTATTTGGCCGGGTATGACATATAGCCTATGATGGATAATGTTCTACGTTTTTGGATAACATAACAAATAGTTGGATAATACTGGGTCAGTTCCCCTGAGTTACTGTTTGACATGCCCATAACTCACACTCATATCTACAGTGTTAGTGGATGCTGTCACAAAGGTTAAATCTATCTGCTGTTCAAGTAAAGCTTTTAAAAAAACACATCTGGTGCAACCACCATTTGCTGAAAATTGCATATTTTTTGGGTAAAGAAAAAACCACATAATGCCTGTCTTTATACGTGTGCGTGTCAGTAGTGTGTGTAGTTTGTTACCCTCTCTTCATCTTGGTGAAGTCCACTGCTGCTAGTCTGTATGACATGGCTTTTTCATTCAGGTAGCGGCTGTAGCGTCTGATGAAAGTTGACATGTTATATCCTGGGGGGGCACAGAGGGGCACTGCAGTTAGAGGCTGATCACTTTGATTTTCAAACAAGGTTAAGAAGTCATCATCCCTCTCATATGAAATTGACTAACTTCTCTGTGAGCAATCTGATTTTCTCCAAATAAGCCATTGCACCTTCTTACCTTGAGATGTTATTGCTTATTCTATAGCTCTTTTGAATATATTGCATTACAGATACTGTTACAGCTTCTTGTATCAAACAAAAGGCACATTTATTTAGTAGGTTTTCAATCCTGGACTGTAGCTTTCCTCTAAAACGGGCTTATTGATAGTGTTACAGAGCCAGGCAGAGTCTGACATAAAGCCATTTTGTTAGACGTACAGGACTGCTGAGTTCACAAACAGCCAAATAGCATTAAATCACCTTGTAGTGCAGCCTTATCTAGAAAGTTGTTGAGGTTGAAGAGTGTGTTTCTGGAGGCAAGGTACTGCATCAATCTCTGATGGAAAAAGGACAGGAGAAAGAGTTAGAGATGTATCTGATGTAGAGCTGCAGAGATAAGTGGGCAACTTTAAATTAATCAGCTGCTATTTTAAATAATCCTTTCATCTGAAAATTATCTGAAAAGCTTCCGAAATGTGAACATTTTCTTTTTCTTAACACCTCTATGAAGATGTCAGCAGGATTCATCTTATTATAGACACATGCATTTCCAAACATTTGGTCTACCTATGTTGTAAATGTATTATCTTTTCGATTTAAACACGGCATCTATTGCACGTCTGTCCATCCTGGGAGAGGGATCCCTGCTCCTGCTGCTGATATTCTGTACAAACTGTGAAGACCACTGAGACAAATGTAACATTTGTGATATTGGGCTATATAAATAAACATTGATTGATTGATTGATTGATTGATTGATTGATTGATATGACCGTAAACAGTTTGAGGCATTTAAGGTCATGTTGATCAGCCCTTTTCTTTAATATCATTTTCGGACAATAAACTACTTGATTAATCGAGAAAATTGTTGATAAATATCCAGTCATTTTCACTCAAACACAAACAATGTATTTCATACAAAGTGAAGTATTCATTTTGACTTCCTTTGTGCTATAGCTAAATCCTCGTTTTGCAATTTGATGTTACATTTTACGATTACCCAGTTCCAGCATCATGTTTTGACGGGAGATGCATCACATTAACTAAGTGAAGATGCTAGTTCATGGGGCTTTATCCCTCATAGTTTTTCTGTTCATAATGCCACAGTTTGTGAAGGAATAACTTTCTTGTTTGAATACTTCGAGATAGTCCGTGTAACCGTTGTAATCACTCTTTCTAGTCTCTTATCGTTTTGTTTTCAGCGCGAGCAAGCAGAGTGAGGTGATTTGTCACACCGGCCATTGAAATGTCAGCGGGACACATTATCAGTCCTTGTTGGACACATTGAAGAAACAGCTTCTTCTTTTTTAAACTGAAGGAAAAAAAGAGTCTCAGAAAATTCGCTTCAACCTGGCGAGCAAAATGTCAGTGTCGACAGATCAATGACTCGATCTAGCCGATCTGCAATCCTTCTCATGTTTTTGTTTGTTGATATGTGGGGCTGCAACCCAGTCTCACGGCATTTTGTGTTCACCAACACGATTTTTTTATCTATTGATTCGTGTTCACCAACACGAATTTCCCCTTTTTTTCATGTTGCACAACACGATTTTAAAAGCAATGTAAATGATAACAAATTAGAAGGAAAAACAGATTTAAAAAAATACAGATTTCAGTATTCTGACACGGAACGATTTTAGAAGCAATGTATTTCTATTGGTAACTACATGTTTTGGGCCTGCACCAAATAATAACAAATTAGAAGGAAAAAAATATGACAAAAAATACAGATTTCAGTATTCTGACACGGAACGATTTTAGAAGCAATGTATTTCTATTGCCTGCACCAAATAATAACAAATTAGAAGGAAAAAAATATGACAAAAAATACAGATTTCAGTATTCTGAGGCTCTGAGCCCCATTTCTTTTCCTCGCAGACGGCAAAAAAACTCAGACATTATACAATTTAAAATAAAAGGGATAGGGTTAGGCTTAGGGTAAGATATTGAGTAAGAATATGTTTTTATGAACCACACTGCTTCTGGTATTCCAAGACCCGACCGGACAAAAAGAAGTGGTGCACACAAAACATGCTACCAATAGAAATGCGTTGCTTTTAAAATCGTGCTGTGTGACACGAAAAAAATGCGAAAATCGTGTTGGTGAACACGAATCAATAGATTAAATTGATTTCGTGACTATAACACGAAATGCCGTGAGACTGGGCTGGGGGCAGAGAGCATTATGTTGAACAGAAAATGTCATTGTAATGTAAAATGTCATCGTCTCTGTTTATGATCTTGTGTGGGCTTGAGACTAACATTACATAGTCTTTAAATCTGTTAAAGGTTTTTCTGTTGATAAATAGATTATCTAAATTGGTATTGAGTGGCTTTCTGTCCATCGACTAACAGGAAAATGACAAATAATTCCTCTAGAGGCTGATAATGTACAGCTTACTAACTAACTTGACAAATCCAAGCATAGATGGTTATTGTAGGACCTACAATAATCATCTATGCTTGGATTTGGATTGGATTTTGGATTTTGGATTGGATTTTGAAGGTCACCTTCAAAATTAAAATAAGAGTGAGCTCAATTTAAGTATCCAAAATAAACCAAGCTAACTACCAGGATTATTTCATGAATACATAACTGCTATGAGAACATTTGTAGAGCTTGTTCTGTTGAGACAACTAAATAAATGTAATTGAAACAGGCTTGTTATCTCAAGATGACAAACTTCTTTCATCCTGAGAGTTTGTAAAAGAATCCTCTTTTCCCTCCATGGGCTCCCTTGGTCGTGCTCCGCTCACCTCGTTGCCGTACATCATGAGGTGGTGTGTGGTGATGAGCGCTTTGAAAACCACGATCCAGCTGTTACTGGCTGTGCGCTCCAGCAGTGTGTCTGCCAGGTGGGGGATGCTGACGTTCAGCTCATTGGTGCAGTGGATCAGGTCTGGAGGAAAGGGAAAAAAACAGAAAAGATATTTATATAAAAAAACTGTAAAAGACATCAGAAGAGAGATTACAGAAACAGGCGTGTGGCCAAGACATTAGAGATCCTCTGTTGCAGTTAGTTACTATGAACATTATTTCCTTAAAGGTCACATTTTAGGTCATTTAACTATCATTGTATACTACTAGAATATGTTTACATGCTGTAAGGTTAAAACTTTATTCCCCTGCCTACATTGTTTAATTAAAACCCGGCTAGTTTACTTTCTGTAAGTCCCTGTGAATAAAAGCACTAGCCACGTGCCAATATCGTAATCTATAACCTTGGGGAGCTTACAGGTTGAGTTATTAGGAATCAATAGAATAAGTGAACAACCACAATGAATGCAGTCTTATTGACTGGTGCATGCATTTTGACTCACTCCATATCAGCACACAAATCAATGAACAAATGATTATTAAATGGTAGAGCGTACAGACGGATGAATCAGAAGCAGTGCTACTGTATCCTGAAATCCATTTTGTGGCTGCAGTTCATCAGAGCTACTCCAATAGATTACTCAGAAAATGGAAAGCTACATTACAAGGTCAATAAAACATCTACAAAGAATGCATTATTTAAACGTAGCTTGATGTTGAATCATGAATCTGAGTTTTCTTTCCAGAGCATCGTTGTTAACAGTAATGTAATAAAACTGAGTTGGCTCTCATGTTTACCCGGTTAGACTTGCAACCAGAGTGTAATCTCACTGTTCAAAGGAAATGTGGAACACGTTTAAAAAAAGAAAAAGAAGAAATCTCAGTGTTTTGCTTCGTATCGGATTTAAAAGGTTTGACAAAATGGCAAACTGTGTGCATGACAAGTAAACTCAGAACAGGGTCAATTTTAAAAGAAAACGTTTTCAGTTTTATATAACTCTCTACCCCCCTTAAAATGGGGTCATTCAAAACTCAGCAGTAAACACTAAACGTAGGACAGATTGGTGGAACAATGCCCTAAATTCTTCAAGGATTTCTTTGGCTAAAGATCAAAATGTGAAGTATGTTCGGACTCTGTTTAATCTCAAAGATTTAATTATACTGCCTTGTTAAAGGAGCAAGCTTTGAGCAGAAACAGGCATTTTACTATGTGCTTATTCAGCTTTTGACTAGGCTGGATTACTGGAAAGAAAGGGTTGTTAATATCTTCAATGACAAAGGTAATTTTCTCTCAAACCTGACCTTGTGTGTTTCACAGTAAAACCCTTTGATTGTACTGTGCTCTCACTGAAGAGCTGCTGCGTGTTATCTGCTCTGTGACATTTATCAGCAAGTTTAAGATCTTTTCCTGGACCAACCAATAACATTATCTGGATTTATCTATTTTGCTCTGAAAAATCCCTGTTTGGATTGATAAACATGGTGTCCTCTGTAGTGCTGCAAGAAACTTGACATTGTGCAGATTATTTAAAACCCAGACTCTGAGACGATCTGATCAAATATTACTGTGTACTAAATATCTTGTTCAATGACATTGGGACAAAGTGATCAAATAATAAAACAAATAATCAAGATGAGAAGCAATTTGACTTCCATTTGAGAGCAGAACTCGACTTAGTAAAGAAAAGCACATCAGCATATAAGTATAAAATGAATAAAGCAGATTTAGTGAGTGAACTTGGGGGTGACAGGAAGTGAACTTTTATTCAAAGACAGGCAGAGAGAGATATTTCCATGCCGAGTTGCTGGGAACAACTTCAAGCAAGGTGAGGTTTCTGAGGCAAATCCTAGTTCTCTTTATTCCATAGAATCAAAGGTTATCGGGGTTTATTTGAAAGCTCTGTGATGTTTTCTGATCCTCCTGAAACACGTTGTACCAAAGTGTCGCAGCTGATGCCACGGTTAAGTGTTTGATGCATGTAAAAGGTGCACAGAGCACTGGGAGTTCACCACAGCTAGACTTCAATCCTGTTAAGATTTCAGTTCATGTATGTCATTTGTGGGGAAGAATTTAGTGGTGACAAAACAGCCAATAATATCTCTTAATTACCAATATTGATTGTAGACTTCATTGACTCTAGCTTTGACTGCAATGACTGTTAGACTCTCAATCAGCTGCAATAATATCCACACACTGGTCCTCTGCATTAAAGCCAAATATAAATATCTGTTTATTTCCAATATCTGAACGTGGAAAGAGAAACATGAAAACAAAATACAAACCAGTAAAATGATTAAAAAGCAAACACATTTAGGTAAATACCCGGCAAAGCTCACATTACACATTTTTATTTATACCTGACCACTATAAACGTGCCATTGCCACTCCATGTCTTTTTTTATCCTAATTACATTTCTGGGCACTAATATTAAAACAGTAATGGTAGCGTTTAGTCATGCTTTACACATTGTTAATGATTTGTTTGTGTATTTCCTTCCTGGTTCAATAACTAATGGGACCGTATTGATTTCAGCTAATTATTTGTTCCTGTCAAAAGTGAAAAAACACACCAGTAAGGTGGACCAAATACCTGAACAACGTAGTTTACTTTGAACAGATTAGCATGCTAATGTAGGGAAGTTGAACATGGTAAACCTTATACCAATATTTTAGTAATATTTAGGGCAGTTTGGCACCTGGAACAGGAACAATAGTATTGAGTTAATTTCAGCGTGTTTTTGCTGGTTTTAGTTGTTTTTATAGAACATTGTTTAATGCTTAAGCTAGTTTAGAGCAAGCATAGTTTGTTAATTAAGTAGCCTCACATGTCAGCTGCAATACTTTACGATTAAGTAAGCTGTCTTTTATATGCACCAAAAACCAAGGCAAATTCCTCTGATTGTGAGTGAGAAGTTGGATTCTGATTTAAATGCTCGTTATTGTGATGGAGATATGGATATGGCTACATTTGAAAGTGCAATTGGGTTGTAGCAATTATCACTGAGCTGCTACAATATCTACCATACCACAGGGAAATAGCAAAGCCCTCGTGCTACTCCTTGAATATAATTACACCTAAGTAATAGAGCGTCTTCACTCAAATATCTCTGAGCTCGGTCCCCCTGCATTTATTCCTGTGGGTGATGATACATCAGCAAGGATTTAATCATTGACGTGTGACAGTGTAGATAGCCAGCAGCATTTGATGGGATATTGATTGCCATCTGGGATTATTGATAAACTGCAGTCCACATAGGGAAAATGAGTATCGATAAGATAATTAGAAATAAGATTCAGGATAACAGTGTTAATGCAAATGCAAAGAGGACACTTCATTAAAGTCAAGCCCATTGTAATGCTAGTGAGCAAAACATATAAAGTCTTAATGTTTGTATCACTTAAAATACGTGTAACACAAACTTTATTGACACATTTTTAAGACTTTGGTTCGTCATTTTCAGAACCCAAATCTGCATTACAAGATAGGGTTATTATAGTGACATATGCATGTGGGAGTAAGTGTGTGGGGGTATCCATTCATGCTCAGTTTAAACATTTTACTGCTGTCAGACTGACTGTGAGTCATAGCAACGCCACCTATCGCCATTTCAAATTCTTCTATGGCCAAGAACCAAAAGGCCAGTGATTATTTTCTACAGAACATAACTATTACAGCCGTGACACACAGCCATATGAATTATGTGCTGAAAAACACGGCTAACCGAGCTTTTAGGGCAGAAGGTCATTGTTGGCCACGTCACAGTTCTATGTGTGATGAATCTGGTTTCTATTGTCACTCTCTACTATCTCGGCCATGCACAACACGGCCAAGTGAAAGCGAAATCCCATTACTCTGTCTGTCATGCTCATCATTTGCTGTGGGGCAGTAAATAATCACCACTGGCCGTTAAGTCACCAACCAGTCTGTCAAGGTCATGACACTGTAAGAAGAAAAAAAAGATGTCGATGAGACCTGGATGAATAGCTTCAATGGCCCACATTGCATTTGATTTATCAAGCGTTGCATTTGGAGAAATGGCACAGCGATTCATCTTCTCTTTTCACAGTGCCCGACAAAGAAAGATCGATAACAGGTTGAGTATATTTTAAAGGTAATTGAAACGTTGTCTGTATTTATAAAACCTCTAAGATTATGTAAACTGATACAGAATCGCCAGCTATTTCCTAAGCTTTAATTGGCTCCTGGGGATGCGATTTTAAATATTTGCCTGCCGTCTATTATATGTTGTTCCTTTAAGTCTAATCGGTTAGCCACATTGATTTTATTCCATTTGCTTGGTGTCTGTCCTGCTGAAGGCTGCCCCCTCCCTTACCTCAATGTACAGACTTAAAGGGCCTTAAAGGGCCAGTGTGCAGGGGAATGTATGAAGAAATGTAATTTAATATTCATAGCTACGTTTTCATAAGGGTGCAAACACCCAAAATCAAGAATCCTTTTTGTTTCCTTTAGAATAAACCCTTCATATCTAAATAGGTCAACTATGACAAAACATGCAATTAATATGCCCTCCTTAAAGCCACCAGACTCCAGTCAAACCATGGTCATTTTACCTAGCTTGTCATCGTAAAACACACTTTATTCAAACATGACAGGAACAAATTAAAACTTGTTGAAACGTCTTTGGGTTTCTTTCTCTTCCGACAATCAGAGTAGTAAGAGATAGTGCCCACCATAACATTTTAGTATTTCATAACCCTGCTTGTTGGCACATTTTCAATGTCGAATGACTGCAATAGTAAAAGAGGATATCACCTATTTTGCAAGCTTTCTGGATTAAAAACCTAATTCCGTGAAAAATGGGCATTGTCGCCACTTTTTATGACCTTGTTTAACCAGGCATTTTGATTAAGACAGCCTCCAGAGTTGTTCTAGGTGAGTTGCACAAAGAGGGCGTGGGTCAACTGATTATTCAGAAGCTCCTTTTAGATACATTTAGTTCATTGCTTTATCTTTTCGTTGATCATTCATGTCCCCGCCACAGTCCTCTCCGCCAGTCGAGGGATTACTGTGCACTGACCTCACAAACACCCTTCCTTCCTGCGTCTTTCCGTTAACCTTAAAAGTGCAATGTCTGCACTCAATAAAATGTCAGAGAGTCGTATGTTACACCATGTCCTGGATGGGGAAGAGGGGCCCCTCCAGCAGGAAGTAGAAGGCGTTTACTGTGAAAGCTAGCTGTGTCTATTAGAACAGCTGCATCTAAATGGCTCATGTACAAAACATTCATTCAGCAAAAAATTCAGGCTTTAATTCAGCCAGGCCCTCAATTCCTGCTATTGCGATGATCAGAATAAGAGCCGGATCAGAACTAAAAACATCTCATGTAACCTCATTGTCCAGAGAGAACTGACCCATTCTGAGAGAAACTTCTTTGTCCTTGAGAGCAGCATTACAAAAAAATTCATAATCCATTTGACAGATTAAAAATGTTCATGTAAATGCTCCTGTTCTATTTTAGGAATACCCGCTCTCACCCTTGAGTAAAGTGACATTTACTAGCTTCTGTAAGACTCCTACCAGTGGCGATGCTGAAGGTGGACGACCTTCTAGCTTTTAACAACTGCAGAGGTGTTCTCATAAAACCGCAGGAAGCACCTTAATAAACCAATATGAGGCCAATTCCTTATGCCCTTAACTGATTGTTTTCTTCAGCACTTTTGATAGTACTTTGTTGGGACTAATCAATAGGCTTGTTTTTCTTTAGAAATTAGTAAATGTTGACGAATGTACCTTCTTTAGAAATCCTCTATACGGCTAGGAGTAATACCACAGAAAAATACAAATATCTTTTAGTGTTGGTCACCGCCAAGATAAGATTTATGTGAAATCAAAGCAGCAGTAAATTACTTGATTTTGCCATTCAGGAGTCACAAAAGACCTTTTTTATTAATTGCATTTTTTAACCTTTTTCAGACTGTTTTTGTTGCTTTTGATGTTTTTTTTAGCAGGGCTAGATGAAACAGCCCGAATTTAGATATATTTGAGGCGCCCGTTTGCACATCTTTTAAGGGATCCCAGAAATCCCAGTGTCACCTCTGCTGTGGACATAACCGATTAATCCACTGCCAAACTTGCCGGCTGACTGGCTGGGTGTGTAGCTGGATGGCTGACTCTCATGCCGTTTGGCTACCTGCCTTGTGGTTTCTCTCTCAGACTGATTTCCCCTTGATTTGCCATCTTTCTATTTGCCTGTCTGTGTCTGTCTGTCTGCCTTTTTAGCTGTCGTGCTGACTGCCTGTGAGTCTGACTGGCAGCACCATTGATTATCAAGCTCTCCATCGATCATGTCAAGTAATTATAGTGAGGCAGAAAAGCCCCCTAACCTAATAATTACTGGTAAAAATCTACATGTGAGAAAGCCTCCTTGTTTCTCCCTGTGTATATAATTGCTGTAGTTTGCACACACAGCTAATTAGCTGAATTTGGAGATAAAGAATCTGTCTGCTTAAACGCCTCATTGTAACACCCACCAGCACAGTAAGGCACAGTGACTCTGCTCCTGACAGCAGCAAACACATCCATTAATGGCAATAATGCACCAGAGGACATGACAGTGAACTTGAATGTGAGATCACAGAAATGGAGGAAAAAAATGCCGCAGAAATAAGGCACATTTTGTACAGAAATGTCTCCAGAGGATGTAGTGGAGCCGCTGATAGTGGTTAATAATGGATAGGCCTACACGGTAAAGCTGCTCTCAATATAATTAGCCCTTACCAGAGTGGCATATTCCCCCTGGATGGCATTTACAGATTGCCTTATATCCACATTTACTGCTAAACATTAATACCCATATACAAAGTAGCGCGCGTCGCTGCGTAAATCTCATTTTAATCTAAGGGAATGTAATGGTGTTTAATTAAAGAAACTGCAAACACAACCGGGCCGGGTGAGAGATGAGAGAGAGATGGAGGAGGGAAGCATAACAGATTCTGTTTATACAAGCTGTCCTTTGTAAGGAAAGAGGCATCTATAGAGTAAGCAGTAATGGCATGCATAACCTACAGTCAAGGTGTTTCTTCTTGGGTCCGCTGACTTCATGCGTCGTGGCCTTGCACACGGCTTTGCTGATGGCAGACCCGGTCATGCTGTGTTGAGCGGCGGCGATCCGGTCCGTCAAAGACTGTCCCGACATGGTACTGAGGAAGAGGAAGAGGAAGAGGAAGAGGAGGAGGAGGAGGAGGAGGTGGTGGTGGTGGTGATGGTCGAGGAGTCCGGGTGGGGGGAACCGGGGAGGACGATCAAAATGTCTTTAGAGGCAGGGAGGAGGGTAGTGCCCTCTGCGATAATCGGCCGTCTGAGGAGGAAGAGGAGGAGGAGGAGGACAGCAGCGTTCACCGACGAGGATCCGGTGGGAGAATTCATGCGGCGGCCAAATAAAACATAAAACGGTCACATCCAGGGATCATATTCAGTCGAAGGTATCAGAAGCTGCAGAAATAAGAAATCTATCCTATAATTATAAAGAGCAGCCTGCAGTAAAAGTACTATAATATAAGACAATGTATCTCTGAGATGATGCCTATATACGAGAGCTGAATGCGAAATAACGATAATCGAAACACTACCGGTGATGATTATCAGATCTATGCGGCATTCCCTGTGACTGAAGCAATTTTTTCACAGACGGTATAACACAGCATTGTCCTTTCCCCCTTTTCTCTGCTCTTCTTCGCCCGGTTTCTCCTCTAAATCTCCGCACACACCGACCGCAAACACCTCTCTGATCCACACAGCTCCCCGCACTGGCTGCATCTAACCTTAGCCGCTTTGAATTTTTTTTCTCCCCCAGTCTTTTTAATCTCCTTACAAAGGGTGTATTTCTGTGTGTTGAGGTTGCCGATAGGCCAATTTTTTTCCCCCCCCGTCAGTCAAACTTGTGTGTAAAATGGCAGTACATGTATCAGGTGACTGGGAAAGGAGGGCGATTGGGCCACTTCTGGGGGCCGGGGAGGGCATCTTAAAGCTGAAGGCTGCCCCCCGGTTTTTTCGAGGCAAAGAGAAAGCATCAGCTGGTCCATCACCTCGGTGCATGTGGAGTGTGATGTGCAAACTCTCCATGATTACATGCCATCCAATGAAATGTAGACACATATGGAGGAAAATCCTGATAACATCGACACAAGGTGTTTCATTCCTGTGATGCTACATGACTGCTATAAGACTGAACATGTGTGGGGTGACCCTGATCTTCATGTTGTAGGAATTTGTATGACATTACAGTAGCAATTATATGTGTTTGATGTGATACCAGTGGCACAATAGTTTACAGTGCATAGTTTATGGTGTCATGTTATAATGGTACCTTAGTAAAATCCTAGCAAACATTCCCATTCGGTTACATTTCTTGTAGCCTTAAAATCATTTCCCGGATTCTTTCCAGTTTGATTTACTTAGTTCCAACAGTATGACATTTAATGGTTAAGTAAATACCATCCTGATGGTTCCTGCTTTAATTTAAAGGCCACCATCTGATGAAATGTCTATAGGAACAACATGTTTTATTACAGGGAATATGGATCAGTGTTCAGATTAAAGAGAAAGTTCAATATGTGGAAAGAAAAATGGACACATCAAAACTGAAATTGAGGGACATTTGTAATGGCAGTAACTGCTCTATAGCAATTTTAGGATTTGTTGTCTAGTAGGGCATAATATAGTACGGGATGCCCTTTTGAACTGGAACTTGCAAGTGTTTTTTATAGTCCAATAATCTGCTGATTGTTAACGTATAGTATTGTTTGATCTAGATCATTTCACAAATACTGAAAAATCCCATTACAATTTGTGTGTCCTATAGTCCAAGAATGCACCTCATGTATTAGCATGTGTTCGGGTCACAGGGGTGGCTCTTTATTTCTCTAAAAGATAATTACCCAGATAAAACCCTTTGTGTGACACGGACTGCTGTGCTGACAGTATTTTTCTGAATCCTCTTAGACTCTTCTAGCCTGTTAATTATCTTTGACTCAGGACTCCAGTGTACACTAATAAAAGAGAGGCACACACTGGGGATTTTCAAAATCCCAAAGATGTTCAGTCTACAATTATATAAAACTGAGAAAAAGCAGCAAATCCTCACAAGTGAGAAGCTATGCTAGAAAAAGCGATTAGTGAATTATAAAAATAGCCGTCGATGAATCAGTTAATTGTTTCAGCCCTATTTGCTCTCTGTGAATTAAGTCAATTTCAAGGCTGATTTCAAAAAGTTGTGGGGAAATGTGTTGCCTTGAGCTGAGAGGACATGACACATGCAACGATCTTAAATGAACAACACTACTGACAACATACCGGACAGTATACGGCAACACAAATACAGTTATTGCATGTAGTCTTGTCCATAGAGAATATTAATGTGTTGCATTACAAGGACAGGCTATTATACATCAAAGGGAGTGAAGTAAAATATAAAGCTGATGCCTAATTTGAAAACATGGAATTTCAAATAACACTTGAGGCAGATTCAACAAAGGCTGCTTTTCAGTCGTCTCTGTGCTGAAAAGAGAAGCGCATGCCATGTTTTTGACTGGCAAGAAACCAATTTGAGGGTTGAAGAAAAGCCTCATACCAACAAAGGAGCAAATGTGAGTTTGTTTGCTATCACAGTTATTTATACCTAGAGTGAAATGTCCAATTTTTGAGGAGATAAAAAATCATTATGGATCGAAAAGACAAATATATTCATGATAAAACGGAAATGGATGCTTAACTAGAGGAGGAAGCTACTGCAAATCATGAAAAGACAGAGTAGTACTGGAAGACCCACAGACGCTGTAAAGTGGGTCACACTTTACCACCACTGTTCTTAATTAGAAACAAAATTGCAATCCACTAAACGCCTTTAGGTTTTATCAACCACTTCAGCAGTACATTAACTGGAAATATCTGCTAAACTGACTCTCCTCCGTTACTTCCACAACATTAATGTTTATTTCTCACCGCTCACGATTCTTGTGTGTTTTCTCGGTAGCATGAGAGAACAGATTTTCCACCCCATCAGTTCGTGATCCAGTGTGAAAGAGAATGTCTCTACGTAGCGGGCCAATTATAAACACACGCATTGCATTCTCTGTAATAATGTTGCATAATAGGGATTAATTTTACATGAGATTAGCAAACAAATAAGGCTGTGATCTTCAGCAGATGGAAAGTATAGCATCTGTAATGACAGATAGGATTTAACTGTCCAATAAGCATTACTCAAACCAACGTCAGGTATTTAGACAGTACACATTTGCTAATTTCCTCGTCAGTTTAAACCCAGGGGAATCAGTTAAAACTAGTTTACAAAAACAGTTTGAAAGGCCATTTCTCTGCATGTTCTCTCCTGCAGTGTGCCCATTCTAAGCCGATCCCTAAATACTGCAGTGAGGAAAAATAACAGATGAAGGAAGGACAGCTTCTGATGTCCAAAGAACATTTATTTTCAAATGTAAGTCCATTATAAATGTGATAGTTTGATGTGTTTGTATTACACTTGCATTAATAATTGGTATCTCTACATTCAAATGCTAATCTGTATAGAGTCTTAAAGGTCACCAATTATGCAAAATCCACTTTTTCATGTCTTTTATACATAATCAAGTGTCCCCTCTGTGTAAAGAGATTCTTAAAGTTTCAGGAAAAAAGATTCACTCACTTTTTGTCCTGATCCATTTATATAAAAACCTGTCGATTTTTTTGGCTTGTGTAACCATTAGCCAATAACCAACCAAGGTAACACCCTCCCACCTTATCACCTGAATCTCCTCCTAGAGCACCATTGTGTTTATTTTAACCAAATATCTCTCCTTATTTTCATCTAAAGTAAAATACAGAATCAGCACTTTTGAAACAGGGCTGAAACAGAGGGGTTTGTGGGATGCTACGAGTGATCTGTTTGGTATTTCGAGTCAAACACTTCAGAGACACGTTTTTTTTATCTGAGACCTATAATATATTGATGAAAAACAGTACAATGGGGGACCTTTAAGTCTTATTTTTTTTATTATTATGTTTTGTTAAATATGTTCAAAGAAAGCACAAGAACCACAGTTACAAAAATGTAAATATTGATATATATTTGACATATATTTGGGTTAAATCATAGAATGTAACAGAAAAGTTGTGCTTCTCATGTGCACATGTGACTAACTTAAATAAAAATATTACTAATAATTTGAATACCTCTAAGACAAAAACAATAATATACAATTTATCTGGTTAAAAAGCAAGAAATAAAATGTAAGTTGTAAATTCACATTTAATGCCTATCTTCCTAAAACTTTTAATAAGTCAAGACATTCTTTCATATTGAATTAAGAGGATCTGAAGGAATGAAACATTTTAAATGAACCTAAACCAAATCCTTTCTGCTTCAGATCTCCTGATGGCCATGGTACAAACCTCTGCCTATTTTTCTGTATTAATCACTAAAACAGTCCCTGAGCCAAACTGACTTCCTGGTGGCGTGTGATTGGTCAGGAGTCACGGCTTCATACATGATGCACAGTTGAGAGGATCCTTGGTGGTGTTGGTGAATCCAGACAGGATGAGGGAGGCGGGCTCTCGCTCCACCACCGGGCTCTCCTCGTTGTTCAGGATGTTCTCCACCAGGCAGCGTGCCGCCTCCTCGATGTTAGCGTTTTCCTGAGGGAACGTAAAAGAAAACAACTATAAAGCAATCAGTTGTGGTGGCCTTGCTAAGGATGGCACTGCGCTGGTAGGTCCACCAGTAAAATATGTCAACAACATTTGGATGGGTTGCTGTGGAGTTTTGTACTGACATTCATGGTTCCCACAAAATAAACCCTACTGACTATTCATCTAGTGCCATCATCAGGCCAAAATGTCAATTTTCACGACTTATCTTAACTTTACTCCTCTTTTTTTTAAATGTTGAAGTTAAATGAGCACAAAATGAATTTATGGATACAGCTCTCAACACTCACATGAAAGGGAGCTGTATACTTTTCAATAATCCAAACATCTTTAGAATATGATCACAACCAATAACAAATCATTTAAACGTTACAAAATAATAATAAACATAGGCCTATTTGTAAAGAGGGGGGACACAAACGGAAAGTGTCACAGTTAAACTCCTTATGAAGTGGTGAGGTGCCACTCCACATTGCTTTTCTTCCCGACTGCAACACTGTGTGTGTGTGTGTGTGTGTGTGTGTGTGTGTGTGTGTGTGTGTGTGTGTGAGAGAGCGTTTCACATGTGTGTATGAGAGATTTTTTACATATGTCTGTAAATGATTTTGTTTCAGTTGTG